TAAAGTTACTGTTTTAAAATACTGGTTGTTAAAGCTGATAAAGTCAAAGTCATGCAGGAATTGTTGGAATTAAGTTCAGCCTGCATGTATTTAACCTCCACTAAATTACTATTGGGCTAATCTACATTCCACAGTAAAGAGCATCCAACACAGGAAACTCTAAAACCCTGCTGGGAAAAGGAGAGGAGGGAGACAAGAAGCTTATGATGGACAGTAGCACAGAAAGCAACAGAAGTTAACATAGCTAAATTAAACTTCAGTCCAACAGTTCCATTACCAGCAATAGCACCGTGCATACTTCCTGATGCAACAGTAGACTTTGCATTATTAAAAAAGAAGAACAAGGGTAGAGCGGGTCAATGAGAGGTGCAGGAAGAAACAGGAGAGATGAAACAGTGATATAGACTTTGATTTGGACACACTGGGTACAACAGTACGCTACTAAAAGTAGGAAAACATGATACAAGCAAATGCTAGTATAGTGGACAAGAGGAAACAGTATGACATGTTATTGTACGCTGTCAGAACTATGAGAACGAAGAACGAAGAACGAAGGCAGCTAATTGGAAACCTTAGCAAGATAAAAGTACATATAATAGATATTCTGCAAAATAACTCAAGAAGTAAGTGTAATCAAGTAATATTTATGTATCTAAGACTAACTAATATTATTGAAAATTATGAGGCCGTTTTTTATTTATTTTTATTTTTATAAATTAAATAATGTAATGTACTCAACATCCTGATCATCACTCCATACCAGTTGGTGGCGGTAATGCACCAATTCCTTGTTTGCCAACCGCCAATTTACTTTGAAGAAGAAGAAGAAAAAGAAAAAGAAGAAGAAGAAGAAGAAGAAGAAGACAAACAAGCTTAGACAGAGTTAAGTCAGGTAGACACCATTACCGTCCAACCTTTAGGAGCTAGCGTTAATCATATTAAGATTTATTTCGAGCAGGCTTACATCGCCTTAGCTTGTGGGCCGAACTAGTCGCAACTAACGGTGTCTTAACAACAAGCTCAGACCTCCGCTAGCTAGCTAGCTGAATGAATGTGTACTAGTTGAATAGACAGACTAACGTCAGGCATGGGAGGGCGAAGATAAGCAATTCCATAGTTTCGAATGGGAGCCGCCCACTGATGTATGAACACAAGGAGCCACCACGGGGGCAGCAGTATAAGGGGGTCCAAGGAGGAACAGCTGACCAAACCAGGACCAGAGGAAAGTCCGGATCGGACCCGACCATCGTGAGTACGATGGGAGCGGTTCTACACTGGCTCCAAGATGTGGCATCGGTGACTCTCCTCAAGGCACGGCGGACTTTATTTCAGGCTGCCATCCTGTTCTGTGTCCTGCTGCTGCTGCTATGGGTGTCCATCTTTCTCTACGGAAGCTTCTATTACTCCTACATGCCCAACGTGAGCTTCTCCACCCCTGTGCACTTTTACTACACCTCCGACTGTGACGCCTCAGACTCAGTGCTGTGTTCATACCCCACGGCCAACATCTCTCTCATGAAGAACGAGAGGGACCAAGTGATGGCTTACGGTCAGCCGTATCGAGTGTCTTTGGAGTTGGAGATGCCAGAGTCTCCGGTGAATGCAAACCTGGGCATGTTCATGTGCAAGATATCTTGTTACACCAAAGGTGGGAAGACCGTCTCGTCAGTGGGCCGATCTACAATGCTGCATTACCGCTCCAGCCTTCTGCAGAGCCTGAGCACTTTACTCTTCTCTCCTTTCTTTGTGACTGGGATAGCCGAAGAGAAGCAGCTCATAGAAGTCGAGTTCTTCTCAGACTACAAGACAAATGCTTTTCAACCCTCTGTCGGTGCGGTCATCGAGATCCTGTCCAAACGAGTGCAGATCTACTCATCTCAGCTCCGTATCCACGCTTACTTCACTGGCGTACGATATGTTCTGTTCAACTTCCCCCTGACATCCGCATTTGTCGGCATCGCCACCAACTTTGCCTTCCTCAGTGTCATTGTGCTGTTCAGCTACCTGCAGTTTGTATGGGGCGGCATCTGGCCGCCGGACCAAGTCAGAGTCAAGGTTATGATGGGGGATAACACCCGCATTCAGCAGAGGAGAGAGGAGGCAAGGAAGCGCATGGAGAAGGAAAACTCGCAGAAGGACCTCAGGGCTCCCCAAGTGATCGGATCTGTGAATGAGGCATCTGATTTCCAGGGAAGTGACACGGTGGCAGGGACGTCGTCAAAGGGGCCCTTAGAAGTCACGGATGCCTCTGGGGCTGATGTGGCTGGTACCACGGAGGAAGAGTCTCCTCACTCCAAGGGGCCCGAGGAGGAAGAGTCTCCTCACTCCAAGGGGCCCGAGGAGGAAGAGAGCTCGGACGTGTTGGATGGATCTCAACAGGGTGAGACGACACTCCGACAGAGACCTGGGCCGTGGATGAGCCTGTGAAAACCATGCCACTGCACACGACAAAAGCACTTGTATTTGCACTAGTTTATGCTCAATGTTAACGAAAATATAGTACATGCTTTGTTTTAGCTAACAAACTACTGCGTATTGTCTCGTGTTGAGTCCTCGACCTAATTCTAACTTTGACCTTGTGTCTTTCTGCATATTGTCTACAGTCTTGTGTTTTACCATCTTGAGTTTTGATATTGCTCGCATCAGGAGAGAACACATTCCAGCTCTGGCTTGCCCAACAAATTATAGTCTTACCATTCAGGTTTTCGCCAACATTTTAACACGCCCTTTAAAAGTCAGTTAAACTGCAAGGTTGCTTTTTCTCATATCACGGCCAGCCTTCAATAGCTGAATGCACAAACCGTGACATTTCCCCCATGATAATACAAGTAGACAGTAACTCTTTATTACCAGTTCATACATCAGTG